TTTAGGGTGATTTTTGGGATTTTTAGGAAGATTTTTGGGATTTTTAGGAAGACTTTTGGGATTTTTATGTTGATTTTTGGGTGAAACTTGGAATTTTTAGGGTGATTTTTGGGATTTTTTTACATTGATTTTTGGGTGATTTTTACATTGATTTTTGGGATTTTTAGGGTGGTTTTTGGGATTTTTAGGATGATTTTTGGGGGATTTTGGGGATTTTTAGGGGGATTTTTGGGACTTTTAGGGTGACTTTAGGGTGATTTTTGGGATTATTGCATTGATTTTTGGGGTGATTTTTGGGGTGATTTTTGGGATTTTTACGTTGATTTTTGGGATATTTAGGGTGATTTTGGGGTGATTTTTTGGATTGTTACGTTGATTTTTTGGATGATTTTTGGGATTTTTTTTTTGTTGATTTTTGGGGTAATTGTGGGTGACTTTTGGGATTTTTAGGGTGATTTTTGGGCTGATTTTGAGGATTTTGTGGTGATTTTTGGGGTGATTTTTGGCAATTTTTGGGGCAATTTCATGGCAATTTTTGAGTGATCTTGGGGAATTTTATGGTGATTTTTTTGGCAATTTTTGGCGTGATTTTTGGGTCAATTGCAGCAATTTTTGGGGTGATTTTGGGGATTTTTGCGTTGATTTTTGGGTGAATTTCAGGATTTTTACATTGATTTTTGGGTGATTTTTTGGGTGATTCTGACTATTTTTAAGGTGAGATTTTTGGAGGATTTTTGGGATCTTTATGTTGATTTTTGGGGTGATTTTTAGGATTTTATGATGATTTTTGGGTGATTTTGGGGTGATATTTTGGGTCAGTTTTTGGGATTTTTACAGCGATTTTTGGAGCAATTTTGGGGAGATTTTTGGGGATCTTTAAGGTGATTTTTTGGGATTTTGGGGCAATTTTGGGGATTTTTTTTGGTATTTTGGAGATTTTTACAGTGATTATTTGGGATTTTTATGGTGAATTTCGGCTGATCTTTACGGTGATTTTTGGGGTGAATTTTTGGGTCAATTTTTGGGACTTTTACTGTGATTTTTGGGGCCATTTTGGGGATTTTTACAGCAATTTTTGGGGTGATTTTTGGGATAATTTTGGACATTTTTGGGTGATTTTTGGGGCGTTTTTTGGTCTGATCTTACGTGATTTTGGGGATTTTTAGCACAATTTGGGGCATTTTTTTGGGGTGATTTTGGGCTGATTTTAGGGATTTTTTGGGGTTGATTTTTGTGGCCATTTTGGGGATTTTTACAGCAATTTTTGGGGTGATTTTTGGGGATCTTGAAGGTGATTTTTGGGGCGATCTTTGGGGTAATTTTGGACATTTTTTGGGTGATTTTTGGGGCGTTTTTTGGGCTGATCTTACATGATTTTGGGGATTTTTTCATGATTTGGTGCTTTTTTTTGGGTGATCTTGAGCTGATTTTAGGGGTTTTTTGAGGTTGATTTTTGGGGCCATTTTGGGGATTTTTACAGCAATTTTTGGGGTGATTTTTGGGGATCTTGAAGGTGATTTTTGGGCTGATCTTTGGGGTAATTTTGGACATTTTTTGGGTGATTTTTGGGGTTGTTTTTTGGGCTGATCTTACGTGATTTTGGTGATTTTTGGGGCGATTTTTGGGGTAATTTTGGAAATTTTTTGGATGATTTTTGGGGTAATTTTTGGGCTGATCTTATGTGATTTTGGGGATTTTTTCACGATTTGGGGCATTTTTTTGGGGTGATTTTGGGCTGATTTTAGGGATTTTTTTGGGGGCGATTTTTGGGGCCATTTTGGGGATTTTTACAGCAATTTTTGGGGATCTTGAATGTGATTTTTGGGGTGATTTTTGGGGTAATTTTGCACATTTTTTGGGTGATTTTTGCGGCGTTTTTTGGGCTGATTTTATGTGATTTTGGGGATTTTTATCACGATTTGGGGCATTTTTTTGGGGTGATTTTAGGCTGATTTTAGGGATTTTTTTGGGGGTGATTTTTGGGGCCATTTTGGGGATTTTTACAGCGATTTTTGGGGTGATTTTAGGGATCTTGAAGGATATTTTTGGGACGATCTTTGGGGTAATTTTGGACATTTTTTGGGTGATTTTTGGGGCAATTTTTGGGCTATCTTATGTGATTTTGGGGATTTTTATCACAATTTGGGGCATTTTTTTGGGGTGATTTTGAGCTGATTTTAGGGATTTTTTTGGGGGTGATTTTTGGGGCCATTTTGGGGATTTTTACAGCAATTTTTGGGGTGATTTTGGGGATCTTGAAGGTGATTTTTGGGGTGATTTTTGGGCTGATTTTATGTGATTTTGGGGATTTTTATTACAATTTGGGGCATTTTTTGGGGGTGATTTTGGCCTGATTTTAGGGATTTTTTGGGGGGTGATTTTTGGGGCCATTTTGGGGATTTTTACAGCGATTTTTGGGGTGATTTTGGGGATCTTGAAGGTGATTTTTGGGGCGTTTTTTGAGGTAATTTTGGACATTTTTGGGTAATTTTGGGCTGATTTTAGGGATTTTTTTGGGTTGATTTTTGGGGCCATTTTCAGGATTTTTGGCAAATTATGGGGTGTTTTTTTTTTCTTTTTTTGTGAAGATCTGTGGGATTTCAAATCTGATTTTTGAGCAATTTTTGGGGCGATTTTGGCCATTTTCACAGCGACTTTTACAACAACATCCTTTATTCCCATGGCAAATTTACAGCGCAAACACAGAGTGCAAAAAAAAAAACCCCAAAACCCCCCGAATTCCCCCCAAAAAGTCACTCGCTGTCGGAGCTGACGACGCCGCGGAGCCGCGACCAGTCCGGGGGGGGGAGGGGCGACTTCGGCGGCGATTTTGGGGCCGTTTCGGGGTTTCTCCGTCGGGATCGCGCTGGGGAGGGAAGGGAAGGGGTTAAAACGGGAGGAATTTGGGGGGATTTGGGGTTTTTTTGGGTTTTTTTGGGGTTTTTACCGGGTAAAATGTTGGCGGCGTCGAGGGCGGCGAGTTCGGCTTTTTCCTCGCGGCGCCGGCCGAGGCGGCGGCAGCGGGCCAGGGAGGGGGCGCCTGGAAAAGGCCAAAATCCACCC